GGACCACCAAAATATAAACAAACAAAATCAGTCTTATTTGTAATGGATACTGCTGGCAGAGCACTCAAGCCTGTTCACAATGCTGCAATCTGTGTCCCTTTGTAGGGAAGCTAACCAGGAAAGCTCCAGTCCTCGTGAGGGAACCTGTCTTACCTCCCGTGGCCCCCAAGCCCCAGCAGAATCTTCAAGCCAGGTGGCAGAGAGACTTTAAATGCACAATCATTAATATAGGCCTCATTTTGCACATTATACACAGTAAAGCTTGCCAAGAACCTACCAGTGGGGTGCGAAGGCCCAGGCTACCTGGGTGGAACACAGGGCACAGCATTATTTTGCTCTGTGGGCCCAGAATGGGAGCAAGGCTCGAAGGAAGATGGGAAAGGCCTACTCTGGTGGGCACACCCTCATGCCTCCGGGTCCCGCTGCCATGCCTGGTGAAGGCTGAGGCACTGGAACTTGGAGTTCACCACCTCTACCCAAGATGCTCACTCCGCAGGACTCACAGCCTCTGCCTCACAGCCTGAGGTCACCTCTCACACCACTGCTGTCCAGCGGTGCAGGGCCCTCCTGGAGGCCCCCCCATTCACCCACAACAGCCCCGTGGCTTGCATAGGGCCCCACGTGATTCAGTGGCAGCGAGGTGAAGAACCACCTCCTGAAGGCAGGCAAAGGGCAGGCTTTCTCAGCCAGCTGCTAACTGGGTTTCTATGTTCACACCAGCACTCAAGGTGACTCTGACGACAAAAGGCAGTGGCCTTCCCAGAAATAGCACAGCAGAAAACAGCACCGTAGGCTTCATGGGGGAGTCAGCTTTCAGACAAACCCAGAAATGGCTCACTCTACAGAGGTGTGAGCCAAAGAAAGGGGTCTAACTGGCTCAGGTTCATCAGGCTGACCCCTTACAACTCATATTACGTGGAATCATACAACATGTGTCTTCTTTTGTAACTGATCCTCTATGTTCATCCATGTAATTGCATGTGAATATTTTCCTCCTTTTAAAGGCTGAATAGTATTCCACTGTTTTGGTTACTGTGCATTTTAGTAATTTTGAAACTGAAAAGTGTCAGTTTCTAAATTTGTTCTTTTTCATGTTAGTTTGGTTCCAGGCCCATCTTATCAGCTGCTCTGCCCTGGAAGCCCCCACTGTGGTTACAGCAGAAGAGGGCTGGTTCACAGGAAAGCAGAAGGTACCAGCCTAGGTAGGAAGGCCACATCTTGCCCTTCTTCCAGACCCCATTAATGAAGGCCAGAGCCCTTATACCCAAAGAGGTCCTAAGGCCACGTGCCCTCTTCTCCTGGGCTGCTTAAGAGGGCTCAAGAAGCCAGATTTTTGAGTATGGACTGGCAGACCAGGGATTAGAATCTTGGCAAAAACTGTGATCCTGGAGATGTAGGTGAAAAATATGCTAGAATTTACACCTTTCAGACTATTGGCATAAATGATCTTCCCCATCTAACATGTGGAGAGTGTTCTAGAACCCGACGATTTCAGGTACCCTAGCGCTCAGCGCACCCCTTATAACTCATCAAATCCCAGCAGGACACCTACCTACTAGGGAGGGGCTGGGTCACTATATGCCTCCAAGCCAACCTTTGGTACAAGGGAAGCCTCAAAGAGGCTTCAAGATCCCTCAGGGGCAGACTTAGCCCTTCATTACTCTGCCTAAGTGAGAATCATCAGAAGGCTCAGTAGAGGAGCAAGGAGCCATAATGACACTGAGACTAAGGAAATGGGCCCAACTAGAGGGATGTTGGTTGCTAGGCACCACCTAGGAGCCCCACCCATCCCTGTTACCACAATAATCTTACAGGTACATTATCCTCATTCTTACTTAGTAAAAGAGTCTCAGCCTCCAAAACCTTCCACTGCAGAGCCAGGACCTGAACCCAGGCATGACCAGCCTCAGAGCTCATATTTTCTCCCCCTATAAAAAATTCCTGCTGCTAGCAGTGAAATCAGTGGTATCCTGTGCCCTGAAGACAATTTTTTAACAAGACCTGGGCAGGCTCTGAAATGAGCCGAGCCTCACCTGGGCACTTGTGAAAGAAATCAGGAGCCAACCACTCAACCCGAGGCAGGCTGTTTGTTGAGTCCCTGTTAAAATGAAGGTATCTGACACTCCAGTTGGCCACTGAGCCGCAAGACAGCAAAAGGAAAATATCACAGTCAAGCATACTGGCAGGATTTATGAAGAAATATAGCTGTCGTCACATATATACAGTAGGAAGTGTTTGTCACCAAACAGTTGCATTAGGAAGGTGGTCACTGCTTGCCAGTTGATGGTTTTGAATTAGCAACAGAATGAGCTGTATCCTTATCCTCAACTCTGTGGACAAGCTGCTGCCAGCAGAGCTGCCACCAAGACCCCCTTTAGGACAGAAGCATATGCCAAGTAGCAGGAAGGCCCTAACTCCAGTTCTCAGTGCAGTGAGGTGCTAATGACTTGCCATTCAAAGCAGTGGTAGCAAGTGGCATTCAGCAAAGTCACTGGATGAGGACGACAAAAGAGCCAGTGAGACACTAGTCAGGACAGCTGCGAGAAGGGGATTTCTTCTACAGAAGAGGCCTCTTTCACAGTCAAGGCCAGCATTCCATTTCTAAAAACTAAGGAACCCAATCTAGGGATAGAGCTAACAGAAAAACCAGCAGAAACAGAGTGTGACAGCTACGGGGTTGCCCAGGGACAGAGACATTAATGGCACACACAATTCCAGGAAGCCTCCATTCCCATCATAGGCACCAAGACCAAAGTGACCCAGTAGATAGCCATAAAAAGAGCAAAAGGGCAAACACAGTTAGGGCAGATACACTTAACGTTAGGGCTATAGAATAACTGGGCTCCGGGGGAGGTTACCCTGGCTGCTGCCTGGCTCTGCCTCTCAGCTGTGTCACCCCAAGCCCAGGCTCCCAGATGTAGAGAGGACAAGGCCCCCACCTCTAGGTCCCGAAGTGGCTGGGGCTTTGGAAGCAGATTCTCAGCAGTGCATCGACACAAGAGCCAGAGGAAAAGTAAAATATGAGATAGTTTTTGTTCTAGCAGGGTAAGAATTACAGTCATTCCCCACTCCAATTTTCTCTAATTTGGACAAAAATACTGTTTTCTATTTTGAAAACTCCCATTAAATAAAGAAAGACAGAGGGGCTGGGGAGATGGCTCAGTGGAATAAGTGCTTCCCTGGCCAGCGCAAGGGACTGAGTTCAATCCCCTGTTCCGCCAAAAAAAAAAAAAAAGGACAGGCTCTGCTAACAACCACCTGTGCCGGGCTCTGTGCTGAGCATTTCGTGTACACTGGCTCCTCAGGCTCAAAATGAAGCATTTTGGTGGGAAGCAGAGGAAGGTGGCCAGGGTTTCACAGGGCCTGCACACAGCTCATTCTCCTCACTCCCAATCTTGCATCCTTCTCCTCCCTCCCACAGGTATCAATCCCTACTAATCATCTTGCACCAGAAATTCCATTTTAGCATCTGCTCTGGGGACAGCACCCTGTAACAGCGAAGGGGAAAGGCCTGAGCAGAGCACTGTAAGAGTGGACCACCACTGTGGACCACAGCTGGTGAGGGCTGCACATTACACGGGGAAGGTGAGCGAGAACCTGATGGCTGTGGTGTCCCTCACACCAAGATTGGGGAGGACTCTACTGCTCCCTTTAGAGGGAAGTGGGGAAACTCCCAAAGAAGTGGTCAGGTGGTAAGGCTGGGGGAAAAGTACCAGCCTCTGCCCTTCTGGCCCACAAACTGCAGCAGCAATGCATGTCGATTGGGGTTCATTAAAAGCCAAGGTGCTCTGGAAGCTGAGGGTCTAAAGCACAAAGGTAAGGTCCACTGCCAACTGTAATGGGCTGGGCAGCAGGAAGGCTATGTTTCCGTGGACAGCTGAGGCCAGAACCTGCTGTTGTTTGCCAGCACACACATCTCAGAGACCAAGCCCCTGAGGATGGTATCTCCCTGCCCAGGCCCACTGAGGCCAACTCCCCTGCTGTGCTCTAGGGAAAGTGGCCAAGCCACATGAATGTGTCAGACACTGCAGGGACAAGACACATAGTCTCCTGGACCCTAGTGCCTAGTTCCTAAACAGAATTCTGTGAAATAACAAGTGCCAAGATAACGTCCATCACTCCAGTCAACTGCCCTCCCTGGTTCAAATACCCCACAGAAAAGGTTGAAGGGGTCGAAAACGGGATAGTAGGAGACTGTAAGAAGAGCCTGACTGAGTTAAGTGACTCGGCACAGGCAGGTCTCAGAGAAACCCCGCAGGCTACCCTGTCCCCCTGCTCACCCCAGTCCTTACCCACAGAGCCACTTTCCCAGGCTGTAGGCCCTGGCCGAACACTAGCCCTTTCCTCCAGCCTGCTACAGTCCCTCACTTACACCACGGGTCTCAGCACAGAAGGTACTATCATGGAGCCATAGAAGTAAGCCCACTCCTGTGCGCCCCCTTATTTTCTCCATAGTACTGGCTGCAATCAGATCTGCTTTGTGTTTCACCATGCGCCCACCGCCCTTATACTCCATGAAAGCGGTCACCACAACTAGAAGCACTGTCTCCCCACATCTCCAGCTGGGAACGTGAGAAGAGACTGAAGGAAAACAAAGTCCCTGCAGCCTTCCACAAACCCTAACTGCCAGCACAGGAGGTCTGGCTGGGCAGCCCCTGGGAGTGCTTAGGCCTAAGGCACAGCTGTTACTTTCCAAAGTGTTAGAGCAGACTGTCAGCACCCAACACCCATGAAGCAGAGGCAGGGAAGACCGTGCTGGCAGCTGCGCCAGGCAGTTGAGCTGTGGGGCAGGATGATGGCCAGGATGCCTCCGCAAAATGCAGCTGGAGGGCTGAGGCCTCAGACAAGCTGGCTCACTCTGGACTGGCCCGGGCTCATAGCTCTCCCATCCTTCCCATGCAAACCATCCAGGCCCTGTCACAGAGTTCTGATCTGTCTTGGTTCCACCCACCAACATTTAAGGACACTAGCCTGCCCTCCCTCTCCCAGACCACACTCACTCGGTGGGTCTTGCTGTAGGTGTAGAGGAAGGCCAGTCGGTAGAGACTCTTGTAGTGCTGCGGGAAGCGGCTCAGGCACAGGTGAAAGGAAGCAACACATTGCTCTGTAAGGAACTGGCGCTGCTCCTCGGCACCGGCTGGCAGGCCCTGAGGGAAGACCACTGGCTCTCCTTGAGACTCACTCCTCTTTTTCCCATCCCACAAAGCAGGTGCAGACACCAGAGGCTTGACAGGGATGCAAACAGTGGCTGGGGGGTCTGCTGCAGGCTTCAGGATGCTTTGCTCTGCAGCCCGGAAGCCTTCTGTGTTCTCCAAGGACTCCTCAGTTCTTCCTACAGTTGAAAAGAAAACATGGTCACCCTGGTTTCAGGCTCTATCACCAGTGATGGAAGCAGCTCAGTGAGGCCCTTAGCACAGATGGGTTGTGTCCATGCTAGATGGGCACTGGACACACCAGGGGAAGGAACAAAGCCAAGGGCTGGCTCTGTCACAACTGGCTGGGCGTATGGCCATCTGGCCTCTTGCTCTGAAACAGGAGTTCCAGGCTATCTTGTGGCAGAGGGGCCCAAAGGCTACAAGAAGTAAGAGTTATAATCTGCCTCTGCTCCTCTCCACTGAATGGCAGCATGGGTGTCCCATCTCCAGGGCCAGTGCAGTGTCTGGGGAAGTAACTCACAGAAGGCAGGTGTTGACACTACCATCCTCAAATAAAACAGCCAGGAAAGGCTCACAAAGTGCTGTGTTGGTTCCACATCTCAGTGCTTCAGGCCACAGCCTGGCCAACATCTCTTTCCAGGGCTACTGTGTGAGCCAAAAGCTTAAACACAGACACCACTTGATGGGAGCCCAGAACCTGAATACCTGGCCCTGTGCCACTGGAGACCAGGGAGACAGGCAGCAGAGGACAGCCCAGGCAGAGACCCACTAGTCCCTTACGTATAGGGTCCTTGGATGCAAATAGAGGAGGCTGTCTGGCCCAGGAGGGAAAGACAGAAGGGGAGGGCCAAGGCAGTGGCAAGGTGGCCTTGTGCACCCTGCGTATCCTGCCTGAAGAAAGGCAGAGGGAGCTCTCAGCACCATTCTGAAGGCAGTCTGCATCATGGGTTGAGCTCCTGGCAGCCCTGTCCCTTACTGTAGGCAGCCTGGACGGAGGCTGAGCCAGGCCAAGGGGCCAGGAATAAGACTCAAGTTCCTCTCACACTATGTCCAGGCAGACATCCAATATACAGAATACTTGACCATCACCACTCTTCTCTTTGAGGCAAGAATCTGAGCAGTCACTCTCAGAGTTATCCTCAGCCACCTGCCATCCCAGCTCCCCAGAGACTATCCCAGGTGTGTCTGAGGCTTCAATCAAGACCCTGCACTCATTCTGTTTTCTTTCTTTTTTTTTTTTGGTGGAACCGGGGATTGAACTCAGGCCCTTGCACTTGCCAGGGAAGTGCTTATTCCACTAAGCCACCTCCCCAGCCCCAAGGCCCTGCACTCAAAATAGGGAGATTTATTTTTCATAGAGGCCTGATTTGATTCACACTAAAAAGAAAACACATTTAAGACATTTAAATCCAGAAACTTTTTTTTTGTTTTTTGTATTTTAGGGAAGGATCTACAGAGTGATCAGGGTCTCACTACTAGATCAGACTCGTAGTGATTTGCCTGTTTACAGCCTCCCAAGAGCTGGGATTTCAGGCATGAGCCACCACACCCAGTGCCCAGTCTCAACTGCTGTCTCAGCATGCCCTGGGGGTGGGGTAAGTATGGCAGTCCCAAGGATCGAACCCCCCGGCCCCTGCGCCTACTTGCAGGTGCTTTAATCCGCTTAACCAGAAACTTTTTAAAACAGCTATCAAGCAAAAAAGTAAAGCACACTGATATGGATGTGGCTTTCTCAGACTGGGTTGTGGGTGTCTGAACAATGTCAAGTGTCCCTGAGCACATGTGGTGCATTGGACTCCATGCCAGCACCTTCAGAGACTGCCTCATTTAATCCCTACAAGCCTGGATGTGGGCAATGGGATCACATCCATCCTACAGGGAGAATGTGGGCGCAGAGAGGGAAGAAACTTGCTCGACTGAGAGGTTCTAGGACAGAGGCAAAGGCACAAAGACAGAGGCCAGGCAAGGCCCAGCACCCCATGCAGCCTACAGTCTTCAGCTCTGCCCAGAATGCTACCAGACATCACTGAGGTAGGTCTTCATACCTCTGTCCTCTGTGGCCCCCTGGAGGTCTTTATTGGTTGATCCCACTGGGGCAGTGAGTACAGGTACCCTCTTCTCTGAATAAGGCTTCCGGGAGCCCTCCAGTGAGGTGGGGGGCTCATTAAAGAAGTCCTGTGTTGAGCTCGAGTCTGAGAGTGCCACAGCCGTGCTGTCTTGGCTCCGATCTGTGAAAAAGAGGGCAGGAGCATGAACACACACCACATCCAGCACAGAGGGGCCTCCCCAGGAAAGGAGATGGCCTGAACACAGCCAGTGACCCTGCTGAGCCCAACCCCTCTGAGAAGGCCCCAGACCACTTCCCAAGGCACCAACCTCCATGGGTGCCTTCCTCAGGTTTCCCCAAACAGTGGTGTTCTGGTAAATGATCAACAAGAGGCTCTAGGTAGAGAGGAAAAAAAAAGCCCTGGTTTGTAGAATTTACTGGTTTCTGTGGTGTAAATATTCCCATCATGGCTGATTTCAAGCTACCAGTATGGTGCTGGTGAATGCAGAGCTGAGAAGAGATGCACAGTAAACTCTATCATGTAATGCTTCTACCACATAGCTATAATGGAATCAACTGAAATAGGAGATAATTTTTTTATTTATTTTTTAATTTTTTATTTTTTTGCAGAACTGGAGATTGAACTCAGGCCCTTGAGCTTGCCAGGCAAGCACTTATTCTACTGAGACATCTCCACGGCCCCAATAGGAGATAATTTGGCAAACATGTTTAACCAGTTGTTAAAAGTCAGGTATGCTCTAGAGTAAGAGTCTGGAGACCCCGGAGTCATGGGCTGAAGGGAGTTCATATTTATTCCCTCTCAGGCTGTGGCCTCAGGGTGTTTAGGAGAAAAGAGGCAGGGCAGAATTCTTGGAGAATGGGGGAGGGCAAACCTTTTACCTCCAGGGTACAGGCAAAGGGAAGAAAAAAAAAAAACCTACTTGCCTGAGGAAGGGCAAGAAACCTCCGACTAGAGGAACAAGATTGCTGAAAATGTCCTACTTCTGAGATGCAGGGACACAGAGACTGCCTAAGTCTGAGTCTGGACCAAAACACAACCCCATCCTAGGCCCTACCCCAGCAAGAACCAAGCACCAAGCAAAGCAGCGCACTGTAGAGAGAGAACAGGAGCAGGCAGAAGACCCTCCCTGAGGTACACCTAAGGCAGAAGGTTGAACTGGAGTACTGAGAAAAGCTTTATAGCAAACTGGTCCCCACACCATGGGTAAGATAACATGAGAGGACTACAAAGCTACTGGTGCACTGAAGGTAACAACAACAGACTCCAACCCAGCTTGAGTCTGCCTAGCTGCGTTCAAATTCCCCTAGTAGCCTAGAAACAGAAGAAGGAAGTCCACTCAAGGTACAACATTGTTTTTCTCAGTTTCTCCAGTCCTATATATGATATCTGATATTCAATATTAAAATTACAAGGCACATGCATACATCAAAAAAGAAGGGGGCTGCTTAGGCCTGGGGTTTGATCCCAGTGCTACATGCCACACCAGCCTTGCCCCTGGGCAAACTGAGCTGACCACCGAAACCCGGTACAGTGGTGCATGTCTGTAATCCCAGTGCTGCAGAGGCTGAAAACAGGAGGATCACTACGAGTGAGCTATGTAGTGAGACCCTGTACCATAATACAAAAAAAATCAAAATAGATGGGGGAGGTCCTATATTCTCAGGAGACAAAACAACCAATAGAACCAGACTCAAAGATCTCAGATCGCAGCAATACTTGATAGGAAGTTTAAGATAATAAAGATTAACATGATTTTTATGTTTACTATGTTGAAGACTGTAGTATAAAACCTGAACATCACCTATGAAATTATAGAGAATTTCAGGAATAAGATGGAAATGAAAGCAAGAGTCTAAGAGAGATGCTGGAAGTTAAAAAAAAAAAAAAAGCAAAGACATAGATGAAGAATGTCTCTGCCAGGCTTCTCAGTAGACCTGACATGACTGAGAAGGGAGAAAAACCAAAACTTGAAATTAGAGCAATAGAAATAATCCAAACCAGGAGAAAAAAAAAGACAGAGGGCAGGGAGAAAGGGGGATTCAGAACAGAGAATCAGGATCTAAGCCACCAACTGGAGTCACAGACAGAGATTATAGAGAAACAGAGCAGAAGCAAGATTGTAAGACAACGTTGACAGCACTCTCCCAGTGCATGTGCACGTGTGAGAGAGAGAGGCAGGCAGGCAGGCAGGCAGGCAGGCAGACAGACAGACAGACAGACAGAGAGGGAGGATTAAAGGCAGTCCCTTAGGTAGAATGAATATGAATCCAGACCACATCTGGTCTTAACCAAAAGGTGATTAACAAATATAAAAGATCTTATTCCTCTAAAATCACTCATTACTTCATAAAGCAAAAATAGCAGTTACATATAGAGTTACAAGCGTATGTTAAGGTAACAATGAATAAAAAAATGGAGTACAAAAGATGAGAGGCTCTTACGATGCCTGTGAATTAGTATAGTATCTTTTAAAGGTCTGCTGTCTAAAGATATATTTTGAGCTGGGCGTGGATGTACATGCCTGCTGGGAGGCTGAGACAGGAGAATGGGAATTTTGAGCATAGCTTGGGCAACTCAGCAAGACCCTGTCTCAAATAAAAAATAAATGGGTAAGATAAGGTCTTGAACTCACTACATAACTCAGGCTGGTCTTGAACTCATGGTGATCCTCCTGCCTCAATCTCCCAAGTGCTGGGATTACAGGTATGTGCTATGATAGCTCGGCTAAAAAAATTTTTAAGGGCTGAAGATGTTAGCTTAGTGTGCAGGTCCTGTGTTCAATTCTTAGCACAACTACCACCACCACCTCCACTACCCCAACAAAAGTATTCTGTTAACTTTCAGGCAAAAAGTACACTTTTTTACAAAGTGGTATAGTTGGGCATGGAGGCACACACCTATATGCCAGTTACTTGGAAAACTAATTCTCAAGTTCAAGGACACCCAGAACAATTTAGCAAGACCCTTAAAAATGGGTGGGTTTGGGTGGGAGTGAAGATTACAACAGGGAGAAAACAGTCATCAAAAAATAAAATTTTGTCTTGAATTTTGTGTATCTGAAGGTGAAACTCAATGAAGTTGGAATGAAGAGAGCTAAGTTCACATTCTTTGTGTGTTACTCGCTGGTTCTGTGACCTTTAAGGCCATGCCCTACCTGTGAACTGCAGCCACATCTCAGCGACGTCCGAGCCTCATGGCTCATGGAGACACGAGGGGAAAGGCAGAGACAGACACAGTACTCCAGGGCCCTCCAACCTATGTTCAGCTTAAAAACCTGGTCCTGGTTGGTGTATTAGCACCTTCTAGGCCATACCCAAGGACCCACCAAGAAGATCTGTGTGAACCACTCAGTGGGCACACTTAAAACGAAACACAAAATCATTTCCACAAACTTAGCAGCCTAGACCACTGAGGGCGAACCCATGGTGTGTACACCGTAGCAGGCTCTTTTTATCAATGAAAGCTCTACAAGGTTTGTCATCACTGACCTGGACACTGCGTGAGCAGGCTGGACAGGGAAACTTTGCTGTATCACTTACTAGCTCTGAGAGACTGGGCAAATGCCATGATTACTTACACTTCAGTTTCCCTGCATATGAAGCTGTGATGATACAAGCGCTTAGTTAACAGAACTGCATTGAGGGTTAGCATACACACAGTGCCTTGAATAGTGCCTGACATGTAGTAAATGTTCACGAAATGTCAGCTCAATCATCCACACTATTATTTCAGAGACATACTTTATTGCTAATCTCTCAAATTTGTCATGACAGATTTAGCTCTAAACAGGCACAGGCTTTTGCTGATGGCCTACTGACCAGAGCAGCAGCACACTGATAGGGTGCTGAGCAGTTCCCAACTCTTACACAGACTCAGCCAAGCAAGCTGGCCCCCACACAGGGACACTGGAAATCAGCCCCATGTCCAAACCCTGCCCTGCTGCTATGGCCTCTTGACTCACGTCTCATCATATGCCAAGGTTAGGGACGGTGACCTCGTTGGCAGCACCGTACAGCTACCAAGCTCATCCTTCACAGCTGCTGTTACAAGGTCCACTGCCCAGTAACTGACAGGTCATAAGTATCAGCTGGCCAAGAGAACAGTAAGAACAGGGGACTTGGGCAATGCATGAGAGCCAAGCTGGAGATCAAGAAGGTGACAGGACCCTCGGCCTCACACTTGGCAAGCAAAGAGCCCTTCCCTCACTAGCAAGGCCAGATTCCAATCAATAAGCAGAAAGCAGGGGTTAAAAGCAAGCCTGCAGCCCTCAAAAGATTCCCAATCTGAGTCCCTAATGTGAGGGGATCACTTCTCCCTCAGAAGCACGCTGGCCCATTCACTATACCTGTGGAAAGGCAGGCCCACTGATGTAGACCCTTAGCTTTAGGAGCTACAGTCATGGTAGGAATTCCATTGTCTGAGTCCCGTTCCCCATTCTAATCTCAGATCTGCAAATTACAAGCTTGGATGGAGGATTTTGCTGCTTTAAGACCTCCAATTCATGGCTTTTATAGTTTTCACTGTCTCCCTACCTCCACCCTTGACACATACTGCCGGGGGAAGGGGGCTGTCCTAGTGCCTGGCACACTTGAATGACAGTCCAATGACCCATCCTATCCTGCAGCTTTCTCCCTGGTCCTGACATAAATGGCATAAACAATGCTCGAGAGACATCAGTCTCCAAAAGATGGCCGGGCAGGCCCTGCAGCTGAGGTTTCCCCGAAGAACCAAGCCAGGGCAGTTCTCAGTCACAGTAAGACCAGCTAAAATCTCTGGAGGCTGAGCAGCACACTGTGCAGCGAGCTCTAGGAAGCAAGCCTAGCCAGGATGATCTCAGCCACTGGCACACTGCCCCACGAGCTCACTGCCTCACAAGCTGTTGGGCTCAAGGCCTAAAGGAATCGCCAGTTTAGCAGAATCCCAGCTGTGATCATTATGAAAACTGAGGATTGACTTAAGCAAGTGGGTATTTACTTTCAGTGTGCTAATGCCCATTTGATGCTGTAATGTGAGGGGACACTGATCTCCCAGAGTGCAGGGAAGGTAGCCAGTCCTCCCTAGAAACCACACCATGTGGGCAAGACAGGATAGCCTAAGCCAGGTGTGGTGGTGCATGCCTGTAATCCTAGCACTTGGGAGGCTGAGAGGCAGGGGGATAGCTATGAGTTTGAGGAGAGAATAGGTTACATAGTGAATTCAAGGGCAGCCTGAACTACACAATGAGACCCTGTCTCAAAACTCCTCCCTCCACAAAAAAAAAAAAAAAAAAGACAAGATAGCCTGTTGTGCTGTGGGGCTTTTGTACCCTTGTGCATTAGCCAATTGAGTGGGGATGCCACAGCAGAAGAGCAGGATATACAAGGGCAGAGGGAC